GTGGCTGTCATAAAAACTTGGACGGATTTATTCAAACATAAATAAAACATTCAAAACAGTAAAAAATATATAATGAATGTTATGTGCATATATTTAGCAAAATGCCCCTCTCTACAGTTTATTTTTCTATCAGACTAATGAGTTTATGGTCACCGAGCATGTTTTTCTGAGGTAAATGTGACGTTACATTAATTGTTTACAAGCCGTTATATTGACGTCTTTGCGCGGCTGAAACACTGATTGAGAGATTACATGAGACGGGATACGGATTGTAAAGTTATACTCTTTCTTTTGACTTACCTTCGGATGTTTAGTCATGTTTATTTTGTGCTATAACTAGTAATAAAGCAGAGGAGATGATCAGGTCACTGAGGCGCTACAGCGATCTGTCACTCCACATTAAACAGCGCCAAAACAGCATTTATTGTTTGAATACTGCAATACAATGGACATAAATTGAAACCTGAGACTTTGTTTCATATTAAAAGCACCAAAGCACAATGTTTATTGCGATTTATTGGATGGGAGATGCACTTCAATGTTCCGTCCATTAACTGAAAACAGGCTAGAATAATAGATTCTTGAGATTTTAAGAATCGATATCATTCCATAAAAAAGAGAATCGATTGATATCAAGATATCGATATTTTTTACCAAGCCCTATTAATAAATGAGTCATTGTGATTGAACCGAATCATTTAAACGAGTGATTCATTCAAGAACGAAACACCCTCATGTTGCTCAGAGACGCAGAACAGCGCTGTGGCTGTGTTTGGGATTATTTTTGTTGTTGAAATAGAGCAAAAACAGGCAATATAGTGTCTAAAACATAAGTCTCTTAATTAACTTCTTGTTTATTGAACTGTTGTAAAACATCAATATTACGTTTGTAATCATGTTCATCTTTGGCGAAAACGGCACACTTTGTGTGATATTGATGTAAATATACACATTTTCTGTCCCCATGTGTTGAATGTTGTGATCGTTCTGAATGTATTTTATTAGACTGAATCATGCAGTGAAAGAACACACTCGCTCTAGTCTAGACTTCACGTAATGAAAGCGTGCGCTCTGTAGCGGTGTTTCGAATGGTTTTTGGTTCTGACTGTGGTCTTCTGTGGCGTGTCCGTCAGCATCGAGCTGGACGAGGCTCCTCTGGTGCAGACGGCGGCCAGTCTGTTCCGGGAGATGTGCTACAGGTACAGAGAGGAGCTGATGGCCGGGATCATCGTGGCCGGCTGGGACCCACGCAGAGGAGGACAGGTACAGCTTCAGCAGCAGCGGAGGAGTGGCTCATCTGAGCGTGTGTGTGTCAGGGCTTAAAGGTCTCCGGCGTGCGCGTTTGGCTGCGGGGAAAAAAGCTAGTCGTCCTACATTTAAAAACACTTGTTGATGTCACGTTCGAGTTCATGAGTTCGTCTACCAATGTATGAGAGGAACACCGCTTTCACTCTCAACCAAACTAACGTTACTAGCCAATCAGAAGTTTTTGCTCTTATAAACACGAGACGCGCATTAGCTGATGATTAGCATTAGCCTGGGTCTCGAGCGCGACACGTTGAAAAAGCTGCGAGGCGCAGTGGTCAAAGATTTCCATCTAGCGTCATATTTACATAGAAAAGCTATTAAAAAAGCAGCGGAGCTTTGTAAACCGCGCAGAGTAATCACGTCATCTCCATAAGAACGATATGATTGCCAGAACTAATTTACCGGGGTTTTTGAAAAGGTCGTGTTGACACATGATCTCCTAACGGTAATTTACCAGTGAAGACTGTATGTGTGAAAGGGGCTGAACTCTTGCTCTGCATCCGCGGTGAGTTTGGGTTGCTTAACGTTCATCTGGGAAAACTCTCTTGATTTGTAACGTAAATCATTTAAACCTATGCCAACACAGGAGAATACATCAACATATTTCTAAATATGCGATTTATTGTAGATCGCGATTTCAAAATAAAAGTTTCTGACTTTGCATGTGGCCAAATATTAAAATTAAATGGA